AATATTGTATGGACTGATCCATTTGAAGTTTCAATTATGTTTGCATTCCGCATGCGTATTAAAGAACAGTTGTTTGGATGTGCAATTGTGATATATCTGTTATGACGTCACTCGTGCAATTTAGACCAGTTTTAAATTTTATCCCCCCGTTGGTGACCGTCTAAGCGGGGTTCCACTGTTGTTATACTTTGAAGGATTACTACTGCCACTCTTTATCAAGTGATGTTATAATTTTGGTATCAAACAAATGCTGAATCAGTGATCATTTCATCTTCATGGCAAAATAGGTTACTATAGCACGTCCCAACGTGTTAAAAACACCCTATATTGTTAGCTTTACAGTGGTTGTAATTCAAAAACGGCTCAGTGAGACCCGCTCTTAATTATCGATATGAGATAAGCATGTCAAGATACAACTTTTTTTATTGGAGAAGAAGGAAGAAAAGGGAGTTTTAAATTTTGCAAAATTTAAGGTGTTCTCGTAATCTCATAATGCCGTCATTTTGGTGTGCATTGCTTTCGTTGAGCTGTGGGACCGTTCCGATGTATTTTGCATGTTCAGTGTACTCAAGCATGTAGCGGGCATACAGGTTTTTTTTTTTCTGTGGAAATTTATTACCGAGTGAATGTAAGGCGGACGGTAGTGTGTGGATTGGCTAGTCAGGGATCAATGAAAGTTAACTTGTGTGGAGAGGTTTGCGGGTTATTTATGATATATAAGATATCAAGAAATGTAGTGGATCCGTTTCAGACTGAATGATAGCTAGACTTCGGAATGACTCGAATTATTCGTACAAATGGTTGACTGATTTTACTACACTGAGGAAACTGCATTATTAACTACTTATTAGCCGAGAATGATGTCTTTACGGGATCTCAAACCCGGACCTTACCGATTTTGACCCAGCGATAGCGAGGTCAATACGGTAAGGCCGAGGTTTGAGATTTTCCCTTAAAGACCGAACGTTCGAGGTTAATAAGTTGTTTATTATATGACTCTTTGCTTTGGTTTTGCGGGCCCGTAATCGGCCCGCGGGCCTTACGGGAGAATAATGCCCTTGAATTAACCAATCAGAGCGTGCGTTATATTGACCACAAATACAAGACTTAAAATAAGTTCGGATAACGAAAAACGATTTACGGATAACCAACAGAGAGAATACTTTATGGTTTTAGTTTTACTGTATACGTAGTTTGATCCAGGCGTTCGGTCAGTCGAGGAGAAGCACGAAAACGGTGAGAGAAAGCAAACGTGTAGAGGGGTGTATCGAGCGGTGTTCTCTCGCTTTTCCGCGAAGCACTTTTCCACGAAGCACTTTTCACTCACTCTTTTCAGTCCGCATACGAGCCTAGCGGTCCATCTGGCCGTAGCTTATCCCGGTCTCTGTAGCATGAAGCGACTAGGAGTATTTCTACTCTCCCATGGATGGGATGCTAGTCCATCGCAGGGTTACCTCTAGCATTAAACAGTGGTGGAGAGAGGCACTGTGAGAGTAAAGTGTCTTGCCCAAGACCACAATACACAGCCACCCGAACTCGGACCGCTCAGTCCAGAGTCGAGCGCACTAGCCTTGAGGCCACCTTGCTCAGAACAGGCCACTGATTATATGGATTGCGAAATTGGTTTGACAATTCATGTCGTGGGTGTTTGAATTCACTGGTCAACCCAGGTATGTGCAAAACTACAAAGCTATAAATTGCTGCACCGACTGAAGTCTGAAATTCAACTAAATTACAAGCAGAACACCTCCTAATTTATTTCTTCATGTGTGATTGTGTAACCTACAGTTGTTTCCGAAGCTATAACTTCATGTTTATCACTAAGTGGTACAGACGTCTTACGCTTCCAAAGCTATAGCTACGAAGAGAAAACAACAATTCAGTCATTTAGTATCCTCGCTTGCCACCATGCTACTATTAAAAAAGTGGGTTTTGCGATCTATCGTACTCTTGAATTTCGAAAACAAAAAATAATCAAGATCCCTCCAAATAGTAAGGATGTCATAACTGCATTTTGTTATGAAAGGTATTGTTACCATTGATTGCTATTTTTAGAATACTAAAAGTATGTTTGAATGTTATGCTATGCCATAGCACTTAAGTTTTCCCAATGTGTGGTAGCCTTGCTCGCCGCTATCGCCTATATCTCCAAACCTGAGCTGTTTAACTGGTAGATGTGTCTTGTCAGTGAGGAAACCGCTGTCTTCACGCCATACATTGTCATTCTTGTCACAGTTGCAACCACGACTCGAGTCTGCACATGAGTTGGTCATCCCGCATGCGCACTTACCACTGCCAGGTGATGCCCCACCCCAGTACGTCATTTTAGTAGAGTCAAGTGACACCCACCAGGCATAATTAGCGCTGCCACTGACGAACAATGAATTATAACACTCATACTTGATAAACTGCTCACAGTGCGAGGAAACTTTGGTGAGACTCGCCAGCTGAGACAGGCTCACTCCTCTGTAATGAATGCCACGTGAATAACAACCGACAGGTTCACATCCCTTCACGTGCGTTCTGCTCTCACTGTCGTGACTAATTGCCGTCACGCCAGTTCCATTCTTGTCACTCATGTCACAGTAAACTGTAAATGGTGCCACTCCTCCCGTGCCATCTGGATCAATGACGTAATTTCCGCTTACACTGCTGACGTGTTTTCTTATCACAGAACAGGAAGTCGCAGTCACTGGGGAATTGATTTTGACTTGAGCTTCTATTGCTCTTAGAGCATTAGTCACTATGCAGGTGTAAGATCCTTCGTGTGATTTCTTGATATTCGTAATCAACAGCGTCCCATTCTGTAGAACATTGGATTCTACAGGAAGTGAGGTCTTCCCATCCTTGGTCCAAGCGATTGTCGGTTTCAGGTCACTCTTAGCTACACACGGCAGATGGACACTAAAGCCGAACACAGGAGTCACCTCTTGAGGAGGACGGATTTCGAACCGCAAACGAGAAAATATCACGAGCTGAGCTGTGTCTGTTACTGGTCCCAGGATATTCTCCGCTTTACAGATGTATGTTCCACCGTCATTTTTAGCCACACCGTGGATTGTCAGGTTTCCATTGATCACTTCAGTTCTGTCTTCAGGCATATTACCAACGGACTTGGACCACGTGATACTAGGGAGCGGCTGACCAGTAGCAGTACAGGCGATACTGATGTTTTGTTTCTCTTCAGCCATCAATCGATTGGTTGACAACAAGAGTTTAGAAGCGACTGCCGAGAAAAACAATACATTACATTTGCTTGGGCAAACTTGGGGAGTGCACTGTATTGACTTTTCCTGAACGCATAGTTTATTATGAAAGCGATCATAAATGTTATTTCACTTTTCATTGATCTTATTAAACTGATCCAAGCGAGCATCTTGAGCAGGTGGGACCTGACTTAAGGTTACAGTAGACCTTCAGGTCGGCCATTTTTCTTCAAATTTGGATTTTTGGGTCAAAGTAGTGGTGGAAGAATAATCTCTAATTTCTGAAAATATTTTTGAAAAAGACTCAATATTGGCGGAGAAATGGCGGTTTTACGTTTTCGCCGGAAGTAAAAGTTTACCTCTTGATTGACAGCCCTATGGCGTGTATGCAATCAACGGAGACGATTTTCGAGGGAATTACCTATACGGATGTCACGAATTGACCACTCAGTTGATCAGAATTGTTGTTCTGACTACTAAGCATTTTTGGAATAAGGTTTAATTCTATTAAGTTATAAGTAAACATAGAACACGTTAAAAACATTGACCAGTTCGAAAAAGCGAAAACAGCGAAGAACGAATGAAAATACATCAATGAATGAAGAAGCGAAAGTTCGCCACGCGGATGAAGCTATAG